CATTTTTAAATACATTAGTAAAACATAAAAATGAACACGACATGCATGAGGGAGACGAATTACAGTTGAAAGCTGATACAAAGAAAACAAGACATGAATGTCACGGTCCCCGTTATTTGATTATAAAATAGTACAAGAAACATCTGCAAACAGGTGAATGAATATGTACTCTACGTGGGTACAACTCATCATAAAGTGATTTCCCATAATCTAGTTTTGTACTGACAACTAAAAACTTCCACTGATCCATGTTCAGAATCTCAGAGTACACAAGTGCAACAAAACTATTTGTCATACATGTATGCTCAAGAAACTGCATTCATAAAACTGAGTGAACCTTGAAGTACATGACTTCTTTGTTAATTCAGATCTTAGTATAATAATAATAATAATCTTTATTGCATAATCGTATGCTTATTTGGATATTGAGTAAATTACAATAAAGATGAAAAACCGATGAAGTAACAAAATGGAAGGGCTAAATTTTTTTTTTATTGGTATTTGTGTTGTTGCAATGTATTAAATTTATTTCCTTCAATATTTCAGTTCTCTCATTTCATACAACCAGCATTCAAGTAAGAAATGCATTTCATCTTCAATCTCATTTTGGTCGCAAGCAGTGCACTTTCTACCACTGCAAGAAGCTTTTAGTATCGTCCTTTCTCTATTTATAAATTAAGGGCACTAATTTTCAATTTTGTCAATGCTGCTCTATGTTTTGCATTTGTAATGTTCATATTACCAGGACCTGGGTTTGTTTCAACATCACAACTGGGCATCAGAATCATTATCATGTTGTCAAATACAATGTTATTAACACAGTAAGGTTTATATTATTTAAAATGTATTCATTGTACATAGAACAACATCTGTTAATTGTTAAACAATTGTAAAATCAATGTTTTCAGAGCAAGTACATGTAATAATTAAGGAAGCCAGTAGCGATAAGGGTTATTGTGCTCTAAACCTTCAATGGAGAAGTAACAATAATTATTTGAAGCCTTCTTAGTGCAGTGATATTATTGCATTTCAATCATTAATAATGCGTATAAAATACTGTAAACCATTTAATTTTCACTTCTAGATATGTTCAGGATTTTATGGAATTTGTGTACAACATATTTCAATAAACCCTGACACTCTATGTTGTAGCAACCCAGAAAAAATTGCCTTGCAAAATTGAAGCAGTTCACAACACCACTGTAAAAAAAAAAAAAGATAGAGTTTAAAATGAGTATAGTCAAAGATATCTTTGAAAGAACACATGTGGGTTCATAAGACATATGTACCAATCTGAGTTGATTCTAGAGATTAGTATCACAAGATTTTACTCACTGTGATTCAATATCAGCCCCATGTATAACACCATGTTGATCAGGCGAACAAATGGACAATGGCCCTACAGTAGTGGCCCTGCAATCACAGTAGTTTTGTATTCTTCTAGCATTTCGAACATGAAAAAATAATTGTTTTTGGGAGTGGACGAATTATTAGAAGAAAAACAAAACTTTTTTTTTTGAGTGGTCGAACTATCAGAGGCGTATTTTGAGTGGTCGAATTATAGGAGTATAAATTCTAGTAACTGAAATGTAGGATTAAAAAAGAACAAGACAATACGCTAGATTGATAAACCTTCATTGGTACCATGTTTTTGGATACATTCAATGACCTGATACATAAAACCACATTTTTTATTGGTCAATCGCTTCATTAAAAAAATTTGGTTTTTAATTTGATGCAACGAAACATGCATTCACAGCAGACAGAAATTCGTTTGAGATGTTACTGGATTTTTGTATTCAGTTTTCCATTTCAACCACCATCATCACTTAGTAAGCTAAGATCGCGATTAGGTAGTGCCACCAGAAGACCAATTGCTTGAGAATATTTTGCACAATTACGCCATTTCAAATGTTATATTAATTAGATAAAGATTTTCAATAACATACAAGTTTTCCACAGTTGATAGTTGTATGGCACTTAAATGACTTCGTCAGTTTTACTTTACAGGACATGGCCACATCTTTTTTTGTTCAATTTTAATCAAGCATGAATTTTAGATTTTTTTTTTTACAAATGTTTATTTTAGGGCAACAGAAACAAAAACAATAAATGTGTAGGTAGGCATTTTAACAATTGCACAATTAATATTGGATGAAAACGTCATTACCGATATAATTCTGTTCAAACAATTAAAAATAAGATCACATTTAATTTAATTCAGTTTTCATAATGAATTACATAATAACATGTACTTATAAAATCTATGGTTTAGGTGTCACACGCAGAGAAGAGTGAAAGGACATATTTTGGTTCTAAAATAGGCATCGCGAAATGCTGAAATTGTAAAAAATGTAATATGCATTATTTTTTTATAATTTTGTTGATAACGCAAAGTAAAGTATGTTCTAAAACAAGTTTCGAATAAATACAAACACGAATACATTGCTTAGTGGTTAGTACCGGTAGCAAATGATCATGGTAGCACAATCTGGTCATTCTGTGTTTCGCAAGTGAATAACTTACTTGTTTTCGAAGTATTGCAATTGTTGATTATTATTCAGTAATAAGTATAATAACGTACAAACAATAAATTCGATGAATTTTTATGAATTGGAAGTAAAATTCAACTTATTAATTAATCGTTTGTGTACAATAATTTGACAGGGTATAAAATTTACAAACTAGTTTCATAGATTGGAGACAATTGTTTTTGGCTTTTCACAAGAATATAAAGCTGGCAATCATCATAATATTCACGTCCGTACGTCACGAAATGTACACCAATCGTACCCCAATAAACTGGAGAACTTACCTTTGCAAACACGTCTCTTTTGTCGCCTTCTTGAAGTTCTTGAAATCAAATAAGGTTACTAGTTCTTCTAGTAACTAGCCGATCAGAATACATGTATAAACAGTACTATAATAAATTGCATGCAATGGAGAAATCACGTGCCGTAATAACAGCAGTGTTACTCACAGATCTAATCTACTGTTAAATACTTCATTTCAGCTGGAATTATCATTCGCTGAACAAACTTTTTCTGAGAGTTTTGTATTGAATTTATTTTCATTGACTTTTGACAAGTTGACTGTAAAATATGGGAAAAAGAGTATATTCGCTGAACTTTATTTTAAGTGAAACATTCCTTCAGCGAAAAATAGCGAAAAAAAGTTGCAAGCGAAAATATTTTACAGTAATTAATTTATTCTGAGCATGCGCAGTCATTCTGTCAATGTTGCAGGGAGAGGTAATTTTTGATGAAAATCATGAAAAAGACCCATTTGGGATTTTCAGATCTGGAAAAAAAAATTACGTGCATACTCGGCAGAGATTTGTTCATCAACCTGCCAAGTTTCACTTATGTCTGCTGTAGAATTTCGGAGAAAATGTTGGAGACGGAAAGCGGAAAATGGAATATGACAAAACCTGAATTATAAAGTCCCCTTTTTCAGGCTGCGCCTGAACGGTGACTAACAAACGAAGGTAAAATTTGTGTCGTCAAGTTTTTTTCTTTGTTGTAAAAAATATACATACACAAGGGGGCATGTGATGCATGCTCTGAAAGCAATGACTTAGAAGCAATTTAAATTTAATGCTAGCCGCAAGACACCAACTTTCTTGATTTTGTTGCAGAGAATATTTCACTAAAAGTAGAGAATTGAAGATATCTTTACGAAATGGACAAATCTAATAGAGGTCTACCCAAGCTACATGTGTACAAAAGAATTTGGACTACTGGTTTTGAAGGACAAGTCAAAAATATGTTTTTTGATGAACAATGACGAAAATATTTGCTAAAAATAGAGAATTGAAGATATCGTCATGAAATTACCAAATCTGACAGAGATTCACCCAAGGTACCTACAAATAAAGTTACAAAGCAAGAAGAAGTTGAAAACGTTTTTTGACCAAAAATTACAAAAAAATTCATCAAAATTAGACAATTAAAGATGTCGTCACAAAATCAACAAATCTGACAGAGGTCCACCTGATGTACCTACATATACAATATCAAAGCAATCAAACTAGCAGTTTTCAAGAAGAAGTCGAAAATATAATTTTTTGCCAAAAATGACAAAAATATTCATCAAAATTAGAGAAATGAAGATATCATCACGAAATGAACAAATCTGAGATAGGTCAACCCAAGGTAGTTACATAACAAGTAGCAAACCATTTGGGCTAGCGGTTTTCAAGAAGAAGTCGAAAATAGCATTTTTGACCAAAAATGACAAAAATATTCACTATAAATAAAACAATTGAACATACAATGTATCTACACGTAATGAACAAATCTGAGAGAGAACCACCAACGGTACCTTCCTAGAAAGTTTTACAGCGACGGCGACGATGGCGTCGGAAACGCCGACAGCAGACGACGAACACCGAAGGACAATCAGTAATACTATATACTATATAGCGGAGCTAAAAACTTATCCTACCAGCAACGATGTTGGCAGCAGCAACCCCAGCTAAAACTCAAACAGGAAAAAGCAGGCTTCCAGGCTGGACCGCATAGTTTCACCCGCACGGCGCAGAGAAGAAACAAAAGTGACGTATTTAGCCATATGGCTACACGTGGTTTGTGATGTGAGGGAAAATCTTGAGGTCATGGGCTTCCCCTGACCTAGATTTATTTCTCTGCCATTGGCTGAATCACAGATTAATGCCTACAGTTCAAAATAGTCATTTTGACTGACCGGAGTCTATGGTGGGTAATTGAACGTAGTGAATTTATTGAATATGATACCAGAATAAGTAAATAGATTGATAAAACCAAGAATAACCAGGCCTTAATTCAATTTAAGAATTTTAACAGAAACCAACCAGCTTTGACATGGCTGACAATTTTAAGAGTACTCAACCGAGTCAACTTTTCCATTATTGCCAAAACCATAATAGTAGTTTATAAATAAATAAACGCTGCTCGGACTGATAAGTATGATATATTGAAGATAATATTTGGTAATCCTAGTCCTAAATAACTATTAAAAATATCTAGACGTTTCGAGCAATGGCTCTTTATCGATAGCATAGAAGCAAGTGTGATAACGTACAGGTAGAACATAGGAACGTAAGAACGCGCATGAACTATAAGTTAGAATCACAAAAAATTCCACAATAGAACAAATAACGCGCCTTAGGTAGTGAGCTCAACAAATGAGTTGAACTGTTTGTTAATACCATGGGGTTCTTTAGTTCCAAGGCGGAATATAGTTTCCTAGGTGTAATACTTGTCCTTTTATTACAGACACTAATCGTATATTTGGTCCCAAGGGAGATGTTGAGGTCAAATATCCGTTCAGTTGTATCACTATGAATGTTGTATATTGCATTTCATGTATTAGATGCGGGAAACTTTATATTGGTTCTACAGTTCGTCGACTGGGTGATCGGTTTGCTGAGCATCTACGGCAAACT